GGGGATTATTCGACAATATTCACCGAACCTGAGGCGAATAATTGTTTTAGCATAATTTGAGAGCTGAACAACAGAGAAATTTCTAAAAAATCATAGCATTATAGTAACATTTATTAACATTTTAGTTTAACATGTTATATAAACCGCGCGGAGCGTCATATAAGGAACCGCTCGACCAATCAGATTGCTGGAAACTTTTTGTTCAGCTCTGAAATTATACTAACTACCATTAGTGATGAACCTGATACATGATAATCTGAGAGAATGCCTTGAAAACCGGGGCCCAAGAGATATAAAACCAAACTAACCGGCCGTGTTTGCCACGCAAACTGCACAATGACAGTTTGTTAGCAAACAGGATTAGAAGAACGTACATATGCTGGATACTTCAAGTGTTTGGTCAATGCCTTTGCTAGGTTGGGACTCTAAGATCCAAGGTGCGACCGTAGCATTTTAAGCAGTTACGGTCAGTTGCTTAAAGAATTAACATCAATATATATCGACTATGCTAACTGTCTTTACATAAATTGAGGCCTGATAGTTCGTGCTGAAAATGAAAAACACGGAGAGAAAGGGGAGTCAAGCGTTCACTGAATGATTACACCCAGTATTAGTATTTCTTGCCCGAAGGATCCACATGGGATTTGAAAACTATATCTGGCTACCGTTAGCGTTTTTATTTGATACATGGTTTCATACGTGTTGTAGGTGTAATCTTTTCACACAGCCTGCCGTATGTGTCTTTGGGACACACGCAGTAAAAAGTAGATTTTCCTTCGATGCATTCAGCTCCATTTTTGCATTTGTTCGGAGTGCAGCTGTTTGGCAGCTCGGACGGATTCGTAGGTGCCTCTAAAAAAAGGCATTATCAACAATCAGTGTAATTTTCGTAAAGCGTTTGTAATTTAAATTGTTAATTCCGAATTCAAGCTTTCAAATGTTGGGAGAACACAAGAACATGTACTTTCCTCACTGATTTCCAGATAGATAGATAGAATRGATAGATAGTTTATTCAAATATACCTAGCAGCCTTGCGGCTGAATTGCGTATATTACAATAATGTAATTAAATAAATATATTATATAACGTATACAAGAATATTCAAAATTATAACAATTAAAAAATCTATGAGCTAAAACCTATCTATATTTAAAAGCTATATTTACATTATCTACATAGGTTCCAAAGAATCATTTTCCCGTTGGTTTAAGGCATGAACTAAATTACATAAGGCGTCTTGATCTTTAATTTTCTTTCTCGATAGGCCGCCAAGATAGAGCCTGTTCGTATTGCTGCGTTTCCAAAAGAAAAAATTATATATACATCATATCGAGCAGGGGGCATTGAATAATTAAAAAATATGTATTAATAATCTTCTGTGAGAAACGAAACAACTGAGCTTAGATCTATAATAGAACGTCCTCTCCTTTAAACTGACAACTCTAATGGCGCTTAGGAATTAAAAATTATCCATCTCAATCTCACTGTTTGGTTTTTCCTCCTCTGGCTTCGTGCAAGTGATTCCGTCTCCCTCATATGGTGGGCGACATTTACAAACTCCATTTTCGCAGTATGCATTTTTGTCGCATTTAGCACATTTGTCAACTGGAAAATAGGAGGAATGAAGAAGGTGAACTTTAAAGACTGAAGCAGAGATGAAATGGCACGCAGAAACGAAAGAAAAAAAGCAACAACAACAACATAAAAACAAAACTATAGAACAAATTGATAGTGCAAAAACAATATATAGTTACTAGATAACCTTTCCATTCTTCTACTTAAGCGGAATTGAAATGACACGCAAAAACAAAAAAAAAAAAACTACAGAACAAACAGATAGACAAAAAGAAATAAAAGAATCAAGGAATATGAAAAATGGCAGGAGGAACATTACAACAGTCCCAGTATCATAATCATTTCTAGCGTGCAGAAAAATTTGAAATGGAGTGTCGAAAACTAATTAAACCACGCAATGGTTTTCTTTTACTTTGCTCTGTAATTGATCAAGAAAACTCGCGCCACTCTCCCAACCAATCAGATCCAAAGCGAAAGATCAATCATGATTTGTTCGCCTGCGTTTTCCCGCGCTTTAGAAGTTTTGTCGTTTTTATTTTGAGTTCTTATTGACCCTGAAGGTATTTTCCTTTATTTTCATTTGCTGTCGTAATTACTTTGGGTTTGGTTTTACGAAACTCAATCGAATGGTGTTCTTTGCGTAACATTACAATTACAATAATACTCACGTGCGCATGTCGGGCCTTCGTACCGAGTCGGACAAACGCACGTTACTTTGCCGTCGGTGAATTCACATTTTCCACCATTGTTACAAGGGTCCCTCTTCTCGCCATTCTTTGGTAAACAGGAGTTATCGACTGAAAAAAGTAAAGAGAAATATTTATTAGTTTTAAAGTATTTTGGACATTTTCTTTTATGAAACAGAAAGGAAAACTATTTCGGGTGATACAACAGTAAGCCATCACTTGGGGACTTCTTAGACACACCGTAATAACATAATCTGTTTGCGAGAGGAATTTTTTTGAAAGCGAAATGTACCAAATGCATTCAATTCGTACACGAAACAGAGAGAAAAAAGCTTTATAACAGTAAGCTATCATCCGGGAACTTCTTAGACACAAAGTAATAACATGAGATTGTTTGCAAGATTCTTTCAAAGCGAAATGCAGCAAATGAACTCAGAATCTTACGCAGACAGCTCTCTCCTTGATATGGTTCCTCGCAATTGCACTTTGGTTGTTTATCTTGTACTTCACATTTCCCTCCATTGTAGCATTTCTTATTTGAACATGGGTCGTACTCTATAAACCAAAAAGGTAAGATTGCCATACAGTTTTGATTGTGAATTTAAATGCACTAGAATTATACTGAGACGTTGATACGGGAATAAATGTAATGATTAAGTATATACTTAAAAGTAGATGGTGTGGAGAGCGAGCTCTGATTGGGTATTCAAACTCCGAATATCCTTTTGTATCCACCTCCTATCAACTCGCCCGATGATATTTAAGGATACCGTAGACCTTCGAGGGCTATTTACTTTTCTAATAGGTTTTCATGTCAAACTAAGCATTCTTAATTCAAATCTAGGTTTAAAAAACAGTTTGGTAAAATATTAAAACGTACTCGAGTTATTTACAAAAACTTATTTTCGAACTGCACTCTTTTGCTCTTCAGTGCGTGAATAGTAATTCTTTGACACGTGGAGAAGATGCAGAGAACATACCACGGCATAGCCTTCCGCTGTATCCCTTGGGACATTCACACCACCAGTCCGACTGAGATGTATCAAAAGTATCATTCTCCCGACAAGTGCCACCATTCTCACAAGGGTTTGGATGACAGTAAGAGGTTTCTAAAAAAATAATAGCGAAAAAGAACACGAAAAGTTTCTGAGCTATATTTAGTCTAAAATGTTTTCTGTAATCGGTTTAAATCCTATCTTACTTTGCCTTCAGATGTAGGACATGTACATACTCGCTAAAGTAAGCAACGTCCTACTAACAACCATTCCATTTGATAATGTTTGTACTCGGAAGACGGTAAGCAAGATCCATCAGTTAAAACGCATTTCGTTTCTTTGCTCCCTGAACGTCTCACGTTATGTTGAAATCGCTCGAATTTTCCAAAAGGACGCTTTTTAGGTACGCCCAAACCCCTATGAAGTTATTTGCCTCACTGCACTAAATATGGACGATTTCCTACCTCATGTCAAATCGCAACACATAGAAATACTTCATAACTCACTTGGTCTGCATATATGTCCGTCACCCAAGTATCCTTTTCTACATGTGCACTGGCTAGAGACACAAACAGCGTGGTGATGGCAGCCATTACAGCTGCTTTCGTGAAAAAAATCTAGGACAAAATTCCAAAAATATCAGTAACATTATAACACAGTGTTGAGCTATCGCATGTCAAATTAGGCCTAGGAGTCAAGTGAAAGGATCTAGGGACCTTGCAGAAATAAAGTTGAAAAGAGCTTATTTATGACTTATACGTAGCATAATCTGCGGATTAAAGATTAGCGAATTTATATTCTTGACTTAATTATTTGAAAAAGCTAGGCTTGAAAACACTTAGGCTGAGCCGAGACGTGAAGCCATGGCTTTTGATGTTGCTGAGTCTAATTTCAAATTATCAGTGGAGAACTGAAAGAGATGAGTGGGCAACCACAAAACAGGTCTGAAGGGATGAAATGTAGTTGATTTTTTCTGGCTATCACACGTTATACTCACTCTTCTATATGTATCGAGCACTGTTTTACAGATAGAAAGTGTAACTCTTCTTTATGTATATATATATATATATTTTTTAATTCTGTGAGACTTACGTTCACAGTGAGATCCTCCTCGACCAGACGGGCATAAACAGGTGTAGTCCCTCCCGTCCGGAAGACATTTCCCACCAAAGAGGCAGGGATTAAATGGCACACAAGGTGAGGTGGAAAGCGGGTTGGAAAGAACAAGGGATTGAAATCCTTTTTCTGAGAGGATAATATAACATTTTAAAATAGATTTAACAAAGCTACACTCTCCATGGCCTTCATTCAATTTTTCCCTTTGCTAAGCATTGTACTGCTCTGGTGAGGATAAGTACACCAACAATACTTTGTGAATAAAGGCTGATAATTTCTTGAGAAACTGTTTGGGGCTGCCTCGGTGGGGGTAACGAAATAATTTCAATATATCAACAAAGTTGAAATGGTGAATTGGCCACCGTTACGATTATAAAAGCTGACGTTTCGAGCGTTAGTCCTTTGTCGGAGCGAATAGAGGAATTGTGGGTTGTGTGTGCTTTTAAAGGCAGAAAATGGAGCTACGTGATTGATGGGAACGTGGCAACGAGAAAAACAGGAAATGATTAGTGGAATGAAAAGCGTTCGTTGATACCTTTGGGATTTAGACTGCCGGCTTAAAAGATGAGCCTTTGTTCAAGAGTTTTACGGCTTTCCGTGCTACCTAAGTGTAAGGAAAGACCGCAGATTGCCATATGTTGCTTAGAATGATTAGGTGAATTGAAATGTCTAGCGACTGGTTTCAATGCGTCCTTATCATTCCTCTCCACCTCGCGAAGTTTTTCTCGGAATCGGTCACCTAGTCTTCTGCCTGATTCGCCGATGTAAATTTTTTTGCAATAAGTGCAAGTTATGCAATACATTACATTGGCGGAGGTGCACGTGAAGTGATCGGTGATCTTAATGGATCGTTTGGGTCCCGATATTTTCTCAGTCTTGTGAATGAAAGGGCACGTTTTGCATCGTGC